TCATCTATGGCCACTTTGGATGCCATTCATATCCAATTCACCTTTGTGCAAGAATGTAGGAAAAGCTTGGAATATATTGAGTAAAGCTTGGTTTAGAAGAATCCTTCAGTGAGCTAGTGTGACTCGAATTTCCATTTCGAGGGAAAAGCTGGCTGCAAGGAATTCATGAATAAGCCTCGTCAGAAACTGAAGCAGGACTGCTACTAACTTCGCGAGCTTTCTGAGGCATCCCATTTTCAAGCATGTAGAGTAAGGTTTAAGTACCAAACCAAATCGAGGGATGCTTCATTAAGATCGCGAAGTTAGGTGTACAAAAAGCGACTAGTGTTGCACCTGACCACCTTTTTCCTTGGGTTATAATATTTTGGTTCTATTTCATAAAGTATGGATTCTTCATCTGATGATGTCTGTCATAATACGGACGAAAACTTAACATAGCTTCCTCTGGGTCGCAGGACGGTGAGCCGAGGATTTCTTCGCATAATTTAACAGTCTTCCTTACGTGGCAATTATCCTTTGCTTTCCGGTGAGATCGCATCAGGAATTCCTTCCTACCAACTTTCCCTTCGAAATGGAGATTCATGTCACAATACCTCACCAAGGAATTCTTCATATCTTCAAACATAGATTTTCCTTTTCGCTACGTCTAAATTATAGATTTTAGTTGGGTAGTCTTTTGTTGAAGATCAGGATAACATTTTAACTCACCTTTGGCGTTTGGCTTTTGGAATTGCGTGTATGCCTCAGGATTTGCCAATCCTTGGCATAACCCGAATCTGGAGATATGCTCAATCCCATGATAAAGAGAGCAAGCAGTCCAACATTTTGATATTTGATGTACAGTGAAAGCCCTTTTTACTTTTCTGTTGAAAGCTCGACCCTAACGAGCTTGAAAAAACAATAGGCCAATATTGCACACTTACATGAGTTTTTTTATGGTCTTAGCATTACTATTATGTCATCATCATTTTTCTACTATCTCTAAGTGGTGACAATATCATCATTGATGCTGACCTACCTTTTATTTCGTTTAAGCAGGCGGGTGTAAGGGTGTTTTTAATTGGCCTCATTGGATATCGACTGAGAGTTGCCCTGGACTTGTGGCTGTTGGATTGTGCTAAGAAAACCTCGGCTAACTGTCCTGAAACCCCAATGAATCAGTGCTGAGCTTTCTTGGTTTCTTGTTTTTAGATGATTTTTTGCCTATACTGCTTTCTGGTTATAACGATGTCCGTCAAATGATGGATTAAAGCTTGGCACTGATTTATCAGGGTTGCAGAACGGTGAACCGAACTCTTCTTCGTACAACCCAACAGTCACAAGTCTAAGGCAACATTTCGGTAAGGCCAATTTATGAG